TTGAGGTTGCAGGCTCTTATACCAGATATGGAAAGTTAGATAATGCAATATATTCCAAAATCCAAAATCCATTCCACTTCAAAATCTTCCTTGTAAAATAGTAATTTGATACAAGTCTATGGAAGCAACTAAGGTGATTTCCCCACTAGTGACTTATAGCATCTTCTACAACAGAACTGTCCAACATGCACCCAATCAACCAATCTTGTTTGGCCCTCAAGCATCTTTTGAAAAATGACCAATCCACTGCCACCAAACATAATTGAGGACATTGAGATTTTTGCAGCCACCCAATGTTTCCAAGCCTCAGGGGCACTACGAACTGTATTGCTGCCACAATACTGTTCAGTAGCTGGTTGGTATGCCAGCTGTTCCTTTTAGCTCCACAATTATTTTTGAGGTTTTTAATCCTCTATACAGTTGTGCAGGCCTGTTCTAAAGTCATCCCACCATTATTTGGCCAAAGTAACAATAGTGGTCACAGGCTTTATATCGTTTCAGCAATGGCTGGCTGTTGCTATGAAGAAATTGCTGTGAAGATGTCCCACTAATAGGGAAATGGCTTGATATCCATCATGACTGAGGAAATAACCAGAATCAGACAGTCACCAACTGAAGGCTTCTTAATTTCAACACAGATCACTAATAGGCAAAAAAATATATATGAATGCTGATCATTGCTGAACTGTAATTCTTCCTAATTTATGGATATTTTAAATCTTCCTAACCTATCTATGATAGTCAGGATCCTATGAATTTCACTGAAAGAAAAAGAAAGTGGGCATCATGCAAAAATAAATATTGGTTATTTACTGCAATTAGAGAAGATGAAGCAGAAGTTTCTATTTGATCTGTGAAACTGACTAAAACTGATTATGAAAATAACTTGGTAAATTGCTTAGTAAGTTTATTGTGAAGTAGACCTGAGAAAGAGCATTTTAGGAAATTAATGGAATTTACAACCCATTTGGTACCCATGCTTTTTCATAAATAAGGCTAACTGCAGTCCTAAAACCCTGAATTGTAGGAACTTAACAAAAATGAAAATGGTGGAAAGATAAAATAATGCATTAGTGCAAATAACCATTAAAATGATTTATAGAACCACACAGTGAAACAGATTAAAGCTGTATAATGTCCAGAATTCAAGCAAAGAAGATATTGAGCAAGCAGATGGTAACTATAAAAGTTAGAACATGAAATGGACAACAGGATGGATGATCATGATGCCTTAAAATATTGCAAGAAAGATTTGTATGCTAAGGATTGATGAGAATCAATCCTGCTAGCAAGAATGCACCAAAAATTCTGACTTGTCGATACAATGACTGTGATTTTATTTGTAGCTAATGGTAGACAGTCATTGTTTTAGCAAGTATTACTTTTCTATTTGGACAAAATATATGAAACAATAGGTATACAATTGGGGACCTTCAGTGCAACTGTAGAATTGTTCCAATTGTTCCAATCTTGATAGTTCCATTCAGTATTGCATTTATTATCTTAATTGTATCATCTTAATCACAAATGTCATTTGGTAGTAGCGCACAGACATGGATTTATGTTTTTGCACCATGCAAAAATAAAATTAAAAAATGGATCTAGGTTATGATGAGTTCTTGATGCAAATAGATTTAATCTGTGATTGTGCAGTTCCATGAGGACCCTGATCTAAAATTCCTATTTTTGATTCATACTTTGGCACAAAATTGTAAGGATTGTATTGGCTTATTACACACAGTCAGCTAAACTCTGTAATATAATGATGGTTTTATTTATATTCTGTTTAAACCTCATTTGGGTCTTTGAGATTCTGTGTCTTATATCTTTATTCTTGTGTCTTTCATCATTTGAATCTGTTTAACTGATGGATTCATGTGGACACTATATAAAACAGTGAGGAAATCAAGGGGATTCATGCCTTAAATCAGCACTTCCCAACCTTTTGGGCACCAGGGACTGGTTCCATGGAGGGTGTTTTTCTTGTGGAGGGGGGGGCACAGTTACACATGCGGGCCTTGGATCCCAAGCGTGTGTGGATGGGGCTTAGCTCGCTTTTGCATCCCAGCTCCTGGCTGGCCGCACACCAGTGCCAGACCACAGACCAGGGTTTGGGGACTTCTGCCTTAAATCATTTTGTGTGTCATGGAAAATAAAAATTAGTCAGATAATGATATTAAGCATGTGCTCCATACTGAGAAACACATGCTCTATTTTCAGATCTATTCAATGTAAAATTAATTTCAAGAATCTGACATTTATCAGAAGCACCAGATTAGCTTCCTTCCCTCTCCAGACGAGAGTTACTTTCACGGAAGGTTGAACAGAGTTCCCCGACGCGACTTGGGAAGGATGTCAAGTGCTTCTAAATCCACCAAACTACATCTACTAGAAGAGCAGCACAGGGGAAAGTGAGCGACACCATCCTGGCGCCCTTAGTCTCGCAGGACTCAAGCGCAGCCAGGAATGCGTTGCTGCCAAAAGTTGGGGACTGGCCAAACGCCCTTGGGAAAGGCCCGAGCAGGACGCATTTGGGAAGAAAAATGTGTTTTCGCCACCCGAAGAAGATACTGCTCGGGACGGCTAGAAGACGGCTTCTCACCTTTTTTCCCCCTGGAGGAAACCCTAAGAATGACGTCCACCGCTCGAGGCCGCCCCCGTGCCACCACTCGTCCCGCCCCTTCCCCAGAGGGGGAGGAAAGATGGGAGGAGTGATGTGGTGGGTCGAGCCGGGCGGCGCGATCCGCGAAGTGGCGACCAGAGAGAGCGGCCGCCTCCTTCTCTGCCGCCACCGCCGCCGCACCTGATCGGCTGGGGCTGGTGGACCAGAAGCCGCCTCCTCCTTCCCGCCGGCTCCAGCAGGGCGCCCGGCTCCCCGAATCGCTTGCCCATGGCTTCATCCGGCAGTGGCGTGGAGGAGGTGCGCGTCTCGGTGTTGACCCCGCTCAAGCTGGTGGGGCTGGTATGCATCTTCCTGGCATTGTGTCTGGATCTGGGAGCCGTGCTGAGCCCGGCCTGGGTGACGGCCGATCACCAGTCTTATCTGTCCCTCTGGGAGTCCTGCAACAAACTCGGCAACCCGGAGACCTGGCGCTGCAAAACTACCTTGAACAGCGGTGAGAGAGGCCCCGTTAAGTCCAGACTGCTTTGTGGGGTTGCCCTTTCTTCCCCTCCCGCCGAGCCCAGCGCCCCAACCCCTAGCCTTCTTTCGGACCCCACCCAATGCAGCAGCGCTGCCCCTCCGACGCCTGGCCACGGTCACCTTTCCTGCTGCCGCTGCTCTTAGCCCTCGCCGCCCCACCCCGGCATCTTCTTCGTTTTCTTCTTCTCCTCCCTTCTTCGCTTTTGCCTCTAATCCTTACCTCTTCGCTTGTCTTCCCCCAGGATGACACCCCCCCCACGAGCTCTTGCAATCTCTTTCTTCCCAAAGAGCGGTTCCTCCCCCCTTTTAGCGCACGCCTAAGCCTTCCGCTGCTCAGCTGGGCTTCCATAGCTCCGCTGGCGGTTGTGCCCCTCTGCAAGCTTCCCCTTTGCCCCGCCATTCGGATCCAGCGCTCGGTTGAGAGCCTTGCAAGTTACCGGCGCAGCATCGCCTGTCTGGGAAGCCACTTTAGAATTAGGTCTGACTTTGACACCAACATACCTTTCTTGACATTCTGACTGGAGTCTTGGGATTCGAAGAATTCTTCTCTCATCCCAGATTCTGTATAGTATCTACTTTTTATTCAATGATGCAACTACTTTTTTTTTTGTTTAAGTATTATTAGCCAATCTTATCTTACTTACTAACCAGCTTCCCCAAACTCAATTTTGCATTCTAATCCTCTATCTAGTGCTTCCTTCTGGATTTAGGCTTTCTGTCTGCTTTCTGTTTTTTCAGCAGTTCTCCCATCTTTGTAGCCTCAAGTGAAAGGGAAAAAAAGAATAACCACATTTTCTTTAAATGATGCTTTTGGGAATCATCTGCTTTGATATATTTAATATACCATATATCTAATAACATAGCATACTCTCTTTGACTCAGAAATAAAAATGTTGCAGAGATTTGGAGGCAAAGAATGAATTTTGCAAATCCTTTGTATCAGGTGATCACTTGAGATATTTCATTTGCATATTTAATTATGGAATGACTTTGAATCCTGTCTGATCAAGTGTGCAGGTGGTTCAAACAATATTTGGCTGTTGTTTCAATTCAGGTCAGTATTTCTACCTGAAACAATCCCTACACCAACTGATGGAAAGTTTTGGCATTCAGCTTCCTAAAACTGTAGCCAACATAAAGTCACATTTGATATTTTTTTCTATCCATGTATGACCTCTTCTGTGTCTCATTCCTCAGTATTCTCTCTCTCTCTCTCTCTCTTTGTTGGCTGATTGGTATTTCTCCTACAGTATTTTCTCCAGGGTCATTTCAAAGGGGAAGGTTGATTTGTTCTCCCCTTCAACCAAGTATATGGTTAAAAATTAAAAAATTGTTTTTAATTTTTCACAATATATGACAATTTCCATAATTTTGGGAAATATCCTTAGACCTCATTTTATTTCAAACCACATCATTGTGCAATAAAAATGGGTTTTCTATTGGTCCAAATGTGTATCTTACATTTTGTTCTGGCACAAATTGAAATTCTTTGCATTGTTCTAAAGAACTTTGCTTGGAAGCTTTATTGAAAGTCATTTTCTTTTTGTTTATATCTATCACTACTGCCTGAAACATTTGGTCTGAGGTGTCTTTCTATTGGGTCCTTAAGAATATACATATATTTGAAAGAGGTGTTACCATGTACAGCTACTGGAGAGTAAACTTTGTATGAGAATTTTCTTTTCTTTTCTTTTCTCTCTCTCTCTCTCTCTCTCTTGCCCTAGCCCACCCCAACATTAAAATTTATGTAGGAATGTTAGCCCAGACATCTCCTTAGCAACAGGGTTTCTTTGCCCCATTTCTTTCTCTCCTAAATAATATCCCCTTGATTGCACAAAATCTTTCAGAAGAATTGGTTGCAAATGTGGGGGGTGGCTGAGTTTCAAATCTAGCATTCCTTTTCCATCCCCCATATTCTTTTCTTACCTTTAAATAAATTAGTAAAAACTAAATAGTGATTAATAGCGTGTTAAACATTTCCTAACTGTTTCTGATAATCATCCACCTTTTTAGCTGAGGAGCTGAAGGTGGTTGCTATGGGTGGTAGATACAATTATGGGCTCATTCCTGCATTTTCAAATGATTGATTATTGAAAAGAGTGAGTCTTTGTTGCCCTGTCATTCTGAATGCCTTCCTTCAAAATTTTTCCAGACTCTGACATTCTCTTAAGTTATACTGTAGAATGAGTTTACTTATTTTTGTTTTTAATGTAACCTAGGATTTTCAAGTTATTAGGGATGAATGTTGCAGTAATTGAACAAAACTGTTCTTTTCATTGTATTTTGGCTGAAAGTCAGGCTTTGATTGCTTTCTGCAATCTGCGAATCTGCTGTGTTGACATATCCACATTCATATCCACATATGCTCACCCTTCGGCGACATTAAATCCTGTCTATGTACTGGTAAAGATTCTTATTGTGCTAGGTGAGTAATGGATCAGGTCCATTATGTTTCATTAGGTTAGTCTACATTGATGCTCATTCTTCATTATTACATCTTCTATTTTCTCATTCCTCTCCCCGTAAAACCTATTTTGCATATCAACCTCTTTCCAGGAAGACATTGTAAGTTGTAAAACAATTGGATATGCTGGAAAGGAGCAGAGATTTTTTGTGAAAAGGCTTTTTAACTAAGGCACTAGAGCAAACAATATTGTGAGTGGAGAAACAGAAGGAACCAACCACAAGCACAGGGCACTGCCTTAAAATATTTGCTTTGTTGTCTTTTGAAAAACAGCAGCACAAGGGACATTATCAAGGGTAGGGATACACTGGAGCCTGCTAAAGCATATCAAAGTTTTAATTGAAAAAAAACCCTTTCTTAATTAAACTTCAAGTCCTGATTGTTCACAGAGAGGGCAAAACCATTGTTTTTGAAGCAGCAAATGCCCTTCGAATCTTTAGAGTATTTGAACCAGAAATTGTCATTGTTTGCAGTTCTCTAAGTAATAAACTCTGGTCTTGCAATTGTTTTCATAATGCAGATTGAACATCAACATATTTCTATTAATACAGAGGAAGAAAAAGGTGGTTGTGTATGTGCTTTAGGTGATTTAGGAGAAGCCCAATTATATGTTTTCCTGAGAGTAAGAATGACCTTTAACTGGCACTGGTGGGTAGGAATATTTGATAGATTATTAAAAATACAATCCCATTTCAATATACCATTTAAAACAAGAAAAATACATCAAAAGTTTTAATGAAAATCATGTATCTTTTAATTCAGAACAGTTCCTTGATACCTATGAAGTATAACTGTAAACGAAAATCACTAATTAGGATTTGATGCAACTGAGAACATTAAGATTGGTCACAGGATCTAATCCTATATTGCAATTGAATACCTGTACAAGTATGTTTTCTTTCTTTCAGTATTTAAAATGTACATAATGTAGTCTGGGTAGCATAATTGTACAACACTGTTAAATCCTACAGTGCAGAATCCTACACTCCTAAGTGATGCTTAGTGTCTTATATTATACTTCAGCCATCCAAAGTTTGATGTATCAAGATTAACTACAATGACTAAATGTGGTCTTTCAGAGAAATGATTATTTTGATATAAACACATATAAAAAGTCTATGGTATGCTAAACTGACAGCATAAAATATGCAACATTAAACATTAGCATGATAACTTTGTACAATACATTGTTATTTGGAGGGGTTTCCTGGTGTATTATTATATAATATATATGCAGCATTTAGATTTCCAGAAACAATTTCTTATTTTTTAGAACTTGTACTGTGCAAGCTCATATTACTGAATACGTTAAATGTTGTATTTTTAAAAAATCTTAATTATTTTCAATTAGTTATTGCAGCCAATGATTTCTATAAAACAGTGGAATGTGAAACATTTCAGATTCAACTTTCATGAGTTATTACTATACATGGGTTATACCTGTTGGTGTAAGTTTCTGTAAGTTTCTGTTTGTGTGTGTATTTATGAAAAAGAGATTTAGTCATCTATCTATCTATCTATCTATCTATCTATCTATCTATCTATCTATCTATCTATCTATCTATCTATCTATCTATCTATCTATCTATCTATCTATCTATCTATCTATCTATTACAAAGTAGATATTTATGAATTACTCTGTTTTTTACCATTCGTAGATAGCAGGAATGCTTGTTTGCTATTTGCAAATAGCTCAGTAAGACTGGTAGTTCCTGCTTACTATGAAAGCCTTAAAGAATGTAAATTTAATTTTGTTAAGGCCGAAAAATAGTAGCTAGCTAAAACAAAGTTAATATAAAAAATTACCAAAGCAACTGCCATGTTTATTTTTCATTTGTATAGATTTCTTTTTAAAGAAAGTTTTCATTTAAAGCTTTCTAGAGCATAGCATATATGAGTGTGTGTGTGTGCGTGCGCGCGCGTACATGCACACACACAAATACACAAACACACTTTCACATACACATGCCTAAATCAATCTGTTTGATGATATGAAATACACTGTATGATGGTTTCTTCATTGAAGGCTATGGACTGTAATCTATAATGCTGGTGCAGTGAGAGTTGGTAGATTTTTCTCAGCTTCCCAGTCTAGGGAAAGGAAAGTCACCGGCTCCAGTTTGTCTAGCTAGCTTCTGTATTTAAAGTAGAATTAGGCTTGTGATCTCCCCCTTTTTAGTGCAATAATGAACAGCCAAACTATTGGTTCTTGTTAATGATATAGAAGATAGATAGATAAATATATGATTGATTGATTGATTGATTGATTGATAGATAGATAGATAGATAGATAGATAGATAGATAGATAGATAGATAGATAGATAGATAGATAGATAGATAGATAGATAGATCACCCACATTCAGAATATTAGGTCATTTTTTTACAGAAAGGTAATTGTTCTTTGAAAACATTTTAATTTCTGTACATGTGATCAACTATGCATGAGTGCATAGAAAAATACTCTTACAATTTCAAAGAATCCCATTTTTGTACCATGTGCAAAAATA